TTTAAAAACCTTTTCAGACACAAGTAATGAAACTTATGGAATATTTATGGAATATAAAGGACATTGCGACAACAAAAAAGGTAAAACATGCAAACAACGAAAAAAATAGTACTAGTATTAAAAATATACTGGAATAAGGAGAATAGTTCAATGTACAATCAAATAGTACAATCAAATGAGATCAAAAATTTTCTGAAATAAAAAGAATAGAACATACATAACTGTATACAATCATCTTCAGCATCAAATTTGAAATGTCATTTACAGTAGAACATGCAATTGTTTATAGTGAACGTGCTTAAAGCAAATACCTGGTTATTACAAACTTTTATTTTAGTCCAAATGAATTTTAGTCCGATGAAATACCAACTGGCGGAAATGCTATGTTTTTGACGTTACATTGTTGTTAAGTGTGCTTCGTGCTTACAAAACATGTTGATTTATGTATTAAGTAACATGACTTCTATCAAATCACATGGTATGAAACTTCACACATCAACAAAATAAATATTTTTACATATGCGTCCATTTAATTAAAAATGGTATAACGAAGATTGTCATGTCCAAACAACAATCGTATGTTGTATTAAGAAACCATTTTATTATTAATTTATAATAATAGAAAATAAGGTATATACATGTATGCGATAACAGATAATACTATTTAACTTCTGAACTTTTGATGAAAATTGAAAGCAGCCCCCCTTTTATTTGAAGGAACGGACGAGAGAAGATTGATAACTGCAGTAATCTGAAATGTATGTCAATAAAATATGAAGAATTACTCACTAGTTAATTAATTGTTCACGGAAAATTATACGTCTAACCATCTTTCGAGTCAACAGAAAATTATTTTAAAAATATAAATACATTGAAAAAAAAAATGAAATTTAAGACAATTTTTTATTAAAGAAGGAAATCCTCTAATTATGACATTTGAATTAAATCACGTAACACTCTACTAAGAAGAAAGAATTGCAGAAACGGAACAAAAACAGGAGCCATTAATTGTATTTCACCATAAGGACACCACCTGAGATAAAAAAAATCAAGTCAAAGAAATTAGCCGTATCAACAAGAACAACAAAGGAGTGGACATCAACAGCAGCATAAATAAAATACTTTTAAAAAATACCGTATATGATCTGAGTCAAAAGCATACAGTATCAGTTCGTCAAATTTAGCCATAAAAATAAGATTGCGACAGGACTCGTGTCATTGATGAATATGCATTTTAAAAAATGTGCAAAATGTTGTTACATGTAATTAATGTTTAAATGTAACTTTTGGAATCATTTTTTTTTTTTTTACCAATTTGCATGAACGCATGTATGGAGTGCTGGTTGGTTTTGGTTAAAGTGAAAGAATGTTCGATTCCACTACTATTCTTTTCTGTTAAAGAGAAAAAAATCGTCAAACATTTTGCACAAAAATAAAATCATAGAAAATAAGATACACAAAAAGCAAATTATCACAATTGTAGAGAAAGGTTAATTAAATAGAACATTTTCCCGTATAAATAAGTCCGTGCATGCTCGAACCATGGCGTCCCTTGCGCATGTCCAAACGTTGCGGAAGTGACGTAACGGTTCCCGCATGCTCGAACGTTGGCGTTCCTTGCGCATGCCCAGAGCAAGCGGAAATGACGTCACAGTCCGCGCATGCTCGAACCATGGCGAGCACGCCCAGAGGTAGCGGAAGTGACGCCAGAGTCCATGCATGCTCCAAACATTTCGTCCCTTGTGCATGCACAGAGCAAGCGAAAGTAATGTCACAAGTTAACGCATGCTCGAAGTACGGTGTACCTGTGGCATGCCCAAAGGTTGCAGAAGTGACGTCACAGTCTGCGCATGTCCAGAGGTAGCGGAAGCTGCGCCAGAGTTGGAAAAACCAACTTTGAAGTTGAAAAACAACAAGATTAAAGTTGGAATTACCAACTTTAAAATTGGAAAAAGCCAAAATTAAAGTTGGAATTACTAACCTTAAAGTTGGAAAAGCCAACTTTAAAGTTGGCTTTTCCAACTTTTAAATTGATAATTCCAACTTTAATCTTGGCTTTTCCAACTTCAATGTTTCCAACTTTAAAGTTGAGTTTTCCAACTATAAAGTTGGTAATTCCAACTTTAAACTTGGCTTTTCCAACTTTAATCTTGGATTTTCCAACTTTAAAGTTGATAATTCAAACTTTAATCTTGGCTTTTCCAACTTAAAAGTTGGTTTTTCCAACTTTAAAGTTGGTAATTCCATTTTAAAGTTGGTAATTCCAACTTTAATCTTGGCATTTCCAACTTTAAAGTTGGCTTTTCCAACTTTAAAGTTGGCTTTTTCCAACTTTAAAGTTAGCTTTTTCCAACTTTAAAGTTGGCACATGTAATTCCAACTTAAATCTTGGCTTTTCTAACTTTAAAGTTCGCTTTCCCAACTTTGAAGTTGGTAATTCCAACTTTAATCTTGGCTTTTCCAACTTAAAAGTTGGTAAGAACCACGCACGCTAACTCTCGATTCCCGCCTACATTTTGCACCCATTTTATTCAATATAAATGGCAGTTTGGCCATTAAAACTCGATTGAATGCAAAGAAGAGTTTATTATTAATTGATTAACAATTTTAAAAACCAGTATCAAAAACTTAATTGCTCTTATTTACGACTCTTTTCAAAAGGGGGTTTAAAAATTTTATCCATTGAAATCAGGCTTAAAAATTGCTAGATTTTCAAAAACGCATGGAAATGGATAAATGACCCTTAAATCTTTCCGTATGTTTATCATATGTAAAATTCAGCAATTTTGAATTTGAAATTGGTAATAAAATGACCATTTTTGCATTTTTTTTTGGTCTGTAAACATATGTTCCCCCCGTGAAACGACAAAAGCTTTGGTAGGAATTTGTGAAATAACAATTCATAAATCCCATAAAAAGGATTTTTTGTTTCAAGGGGGGGGGGGGTTAAAAATATTTTCCGTTTTCCGTTGATTTCTACAGTGAAAACCGCAATTTTTACCAAAATTAAAGAGTTATCTTTCTTTGTTTTCCCAAATAAGTTATGTTTTATGAAATTTACATAAATATCTATATAAATATAAAAATTCATTCAAAAATGTTAGTTTTTGAAATTTGACTTAATGGTAGGCGGCAGAACAATACTATCGTTCGCAGTTCTTCCAGCTTTAATCTTGGCTTTTCTATCTTTGTACGGCTTTATACGTTATATTCAGCTGGACTCGTGTTGCTGTTTTATACATGTAATTACAATGGAAAGAAACTTTGATGAAAGTAGGAATTATTTCATATTTTTTTCACATGTACATACAGAATTGATACATTTAGTTCAGTTGTATTTGTAGCATGTAATATAATGTTGATTCATCCCATATATTAAACACCAAATAATATTTTTTAAGGTTATTTTCTCATACAAAACAAAATAAATATCAGATCTCTTAAATAGGTTTGGATGAAATATTGTCATGTATACGGAGTTGTATGAAGTCATTTTCTGTATAATTATATAAGATGGACCAAAAAAATTATAAGGTTTTTTTTTTCAATTTGGAAGTTATATGTAAGGTCATTAAGAAATTCAAGTTAAAATATAATTGACACAGATTAATTGCTCACCAATCTATTTCAGTGTATTAATTTTGCATGAATAAAGTTGGTAATAATTTAAAATAAAGGAAAAAAAAAAGCTAAGGAAAAGTGGTAGAAAAGTCAAATTAAAGTTTAAAGTTGGAAAAGCCAAGATTAAGGTTGGAATTACCCACTTTAAAGTTGGGAAAGCCAAGATTAAAGTTGGAATTACCAACTTTATAGCTGGAATGACCAACTTTAAAGCTGGAAAAGCATTGCAAGTTTAAAGTTGGAATTATCAACTTTAAAGTTGGAAAAGCCAACTTTAAGTTGGAATTACCAACTTTAAAATTGGAAAAGCCAACTTCAAAGTTGGAATTACCAACTTAAAAAAATTATGTGTCACTAATACGCTTCCGTATACTATATCAAAAGATTATGACTGGTTTTGGTGGGTTTTTTTTTTTTTTTTTTTTTTTTTTTTTTTTTTTTTTTTGATTTTTTTTTTTTTTTTGGCACGCCATCTGCAGGCGTCAACTCAGTTATTGACCGTTGGTTTTGCGTCGGTGATCGTTCGTTTTGCAACGAATGTTGATTTTGCAATTGAGTCTGTTGATTTTAATTTAAGCTGTTTGTTTTGTATTTCAGTATAATTTTGCAAATTAATTGTTCGTTTTGCATGAACGTCTTTTTACCCTTTCCGCCGCCCATATAAGATATGATCTTTTTCAACATGCAGTGCTCCTACATTGCCTTGGTGTTGTATTGAGAATGTGGGATCCCCATTTCCTTTTTGTTCAGACAAGTAACCACTGTCACGTTGTCCACTTGAGCATTACTAATGGTCAAAGATTTCACCGTTATACCTGCCCCTTTCATTTCTAACGCATTTATGCCCCCCTCCCCCCGGTTTGAGTGATGAGCTGTTGGACTCTACTCCTCCTTTAAAGTGGAAATTTGCTGACGGCCCTGATGGAATAAGTCTCCGTATAAACATATGTTGTATGTGTAAATAATTCATATATTTATTTTGCCATCTTAAGCGATGTCATTGACTGCTAATTCAATCTAGATCTATTACTTTAATGAATTAACAATGTTTCCTTAGAAATAATTTTTTTTTGTTGATTTAAAGGAATTGGTCATTGCCTTTATACAAGAAATATCATCCTCTAAGTTCGTTTTATTATGATGTAATACTAAATTCCCACAACACTATTCACAACGCCTCGTCATATTGTGAAGTATTTATTTACATAAAGTGTACATTAACATACCATTTGAGGACAATTCTTTTTTTGTAATAGTTATTTCTTTAATAAAAATAGGAAATGACTCAAAAAATCCCGGGAAAATTTATAGTTATTTACATAAAATTACGATCAAGCTATTCCTGTCAATGGCAGATTGTCGTCTATAGTCGTGTATTCAATATGTTACTTATCTTTTATTGTTGTGGTATGGCCAAATTGACAGATACATGGGCAAATTAGTAGAGGCGTAATAGGTTAGATAAACCCATAACTACCGAGAAACATAAACAGGGACCGCAGAGAAGGCGATGCTAGTTTATTTGGGACCCTTTTCTTCACTTTAGCTGACAAGGTATGTGAAAAAGTTAAATATTCAAACACTAAATTTTACCAATTTTTTAAAAAAGCTGTTACTTCACATAATGGAATTCTTTTTTTCTCGAAAAACATCTTAAAATCAGCTTTTAGAATGTTGGATCCTGCAATAAAGTCCTAAAAAGTTTTTCCTCCAATATTTTCTATCCAATTCAACGGCAGCAAATACAGTCTTATCCTATGCAAAGATAGATACATCGAAAATTGAGAGAAAGAAAAACAGTTCAAAATTAATTCGCATAATCAATTATGAGGCTTTTTTGCACTCACGTAGTGCATTTTCTTACATTGAAAATTTAACAAGCAATAACATTACATGTATATAAAAGCTTAAATAAGATTACTGAAGATAAAACGATACAGATTAAAATTATCATATAAATCCAAAAAGGAAATTTAAAAGTGGTGTCAATGTTTATAATTTTCAGGTAATTCAAAGAATTTGTAAATTTTATGTTCAATTGGGACAATTTTTCTCCGGACTTTTACAAAATATCTGCTCTAATGTTTGTCACAAAAACGATAAAATCAATTTATGTAATTCGGGACTAACAAAAAATATATTGCTGCACAAAATAAGTATAGGGATTCTTGGAAGCCAAGCTTAACAGTACTGCAAACATTTTGAAATAGAAAACGTCAAATTATTTTCTTCTAGAAAACCTTCCTCCACAAAATACAGTTCCTCAATCACTTTTCTTTTTATGGAATTAAGTAATTAGTTTTTAATTAGATATAGTTTAATTGGCATTTTAGAGTTTAATATATGTCGTTAAAACTGATATATGATGAGACTAGAGGTTCAGACAAAATTCGTCTTAAAGCTGAGAATCGAACCTCTTTAGCAAATAACCATATTCCTTAGTGACTTTTATACATTCCCAATGTGGCTTAAATCTATAATTATAACAAACTCTCCCCACTCTATTGTGGAAGACTGACCTATACAACGAATTTGATATGCATGCATGTCCAAAAGGAGACGTGATTTATTTCATTTTGTTTGTTTGTTTGTTTGTTTTCGTTTACGAATTTAAAGTTGAAATATTGATCATGTACTTTTTAATAATTTATATGAATGATACAACAAAAAGAATGGGAAATAGAATTAAAGATACTGCGATTATTGCACGAGGATGTATTAAAATGGACATAGTTACTGAGTTTTCTACGAATTTTTCAGATTCTTTGATCCCAACTCTAAATTTTGAAGTCCGTGTTTTCTCTGCTTCAAATTTGTATCGTTTCATTGGACTTTCGAGATTAAATACTGTTCGTTATCTTCATATTTCATAAGTAATTAAAAGTGTAGTTGAGAAAGAACTTATAAATTATTTGTCCACCTGGAAAAAGGACTACATCTGTAATTTTAATCACAGCTAAATCTTTGTTCCAATTAAATATTTAATAAAAGGCATAAAATTGACAGTACCTCCTGTATAGAAATAGACAGCCAAAGAATGCAAAATTTTTTAATGCAGTATTGTGATCAAATATTGTGTTAAGAAGGAACATATCACTTTTTGTACTCCCTTTATTTCCCCTTCTCTTTCCTCTCAGTTACACCCCCCCCCCCACACACACACTGCCTGATGGAATCAAATTAACCAGTCCACTAAATCTGGAAGAATCTCAGCTTTTTTTTTACTTATCTTATCCAGTCACACTATTTGAAAAGAAGGAACAAATCAAAACAGCAGCACACTAAATATTTCTAATCTATCGTTTTGCGAAAAATAACTCTTTATTCTATATAACAGTTTTAAGTTTTTATTGAAATAAGAAGGGAGCTTTAACTGTTTTATAAAACCCCATTACCTATGCTTCCCTTCTCTGAATACTGCCATTATGCTAAGAACGTCTAAATCAGTCTTTGTGGTCTAGTGAGTGAAGTTGTCATGGAAACACCATTGGAGCTCATGACCACTTTGTCTCCTAAAATCATTAAATTAGCCAATATCGTGTGTCCTTTCGCTACGACGTAACCTCTTACTTTTTCCTGAAAAAAAGGCATCGATTTTTTGGTTCATTAATCTTCTATGATACTGTACGTTTCAGACTTGATCTTATATTTGAGGTATAAGTTCTGGTACATGTAATTCATGTCGGCACTTCTGTCTCGGCACCATTGACACCTTTCTGCCATTTTCACGTTAGGTACTTATGAGCATTACCACTACTATGGAATAACCCTTATGACCTTATCATTTTCATGCATGCAGATCACCTTTTATGGTCAGTCAGTTCAGGGAAATAAATATTTACGTGTATTATCTCCAGAACTGGAATTGTTGTAACTATAATAATCAAAGTATACCCAAATCTGTTTCTGTAATAAATTTGACCACAAATGTCCAACCTCTGACAATAATACAATATGTATCTACTTGTCATCAATCAGAGTTCGTGCCGGCGCTGACCTTTAAGTGGGTTAGGGAGAAAGACTAGACAGTTTGACCGGCCACTCATCGTACAACTTTTTTTTATGAACATGCATATATCCTTTCTTTTCAAAACTTGAATAATGTATGGATAAAGTATAGAGAAAATGTACTTACCTCTCATTTCAAATACAGTAATCGATAAAGTTCTAATCATTTTTATAAAGTTAACCAACAGACCTTTTTTACGAAAAGTTTTTTTTTATCAAAAAGCTCGCTGTTTTTAAGTATCTGTTGCTCAACCTTAAAACAAAAATGCACAATAAATTAAACATCCAGTTAACCTTGCAGAGTGTAAATATGCTTCTAAATATTCACAAATATAATAGATTCACACTAAATTAAACATCCAGTTAACCTTGCAGAGTGTAAATATGCTTCTAAAATAAAGATATGTAACACTCTCTGATATTTTTTATCTTCTATATTAAAAACTTTCTTTGAAACTTTTTTTTGGCTAGAGAACTTAGTTAGGGAAACAAGGCATAGAAATGTCTTCAGCTTTGATGCTTTTTAATCAAGTGCAATGTTAAATTATGAGAATGTGCCAAATAAATTTTTTTTTTAATTTTTGTAAAATCCTATCAAGTGAAATGACTGCTTTTAATTAAATTCTCATGATAAAAATTCAGAGTCAATATTGGTCACCGAGACCGACACTGTAACCAGTGAATCATTTTACTTAGCAAAAATGCCTGCAAACATTTTGACATTTATAGTCCTCAGAAGCACGAAGTCGTTAACGGTGTTTAATGGTGGTATTAGACCAAAAGCATGTCCCTGTATAGTAGGCTAGCCTTGCATGCTAATATTTTATGTTCCTAGACGAATTCAGTGCCGATCTAGAAAACACCAAGACCGTGTAAGACACTATTTGTATCCGGACTTTCTGACGTATCAAAGCCACAATGTATTCATATCGTTAGATGTAGTCAATAATAAGGAAATAATTATAAATGAGAATACTTATTCACACAACATTTTATTTCAGTTCTTAATCCACCATGCATTCAACAGCATTGTTTGTTTGTCTGTTCCTAGCAACGGCGTCTGGTATGACAATATGGAAACCCAATATGCCAGACAATAAATACAAGTTAAAGGTACCATTTTATCCAAAAAAAAAAAAAAATATGATTTTATAATGTTGGTATTTTTTTTTTACATAATTTTGCCTTTGATCCATCAAAAAGAGGGGGATTTAACGGATGTTCCAAAACTAAACACAATTCAAATTTTGTCAACACAGAATCGTCAATTACGATTTAACAAGACAATTTCATTATCTATTTTCTTATAATTTCATTAAACCTTAGATTGCATCAAAAACAAAGGAATATAATGGCGTTTCTGGTTCTCTAAACAATGCATTATCAATGGATATAATGAACGAAATCCCTGGACTCGCAAAGACTTCATCTACCTCCAGTAAAGATGGCACCTACACAAGAACAGTTGTCCAGAAAACATACACTAGTACACATTCTATAGATGATTTTGGGAAGTCTTTAAAGGGGAGCGGGAAACTCGGTAATCGGATAGCCATGAATACAGCGAAAAGTACCGACAATTTGACGTTCCGGACGTTACCAGGAGGAATGACAGGTAAACTAACATCCCGTACAGTAGAATCGGCACCACAAGCATTGGTCTCCGATAGACAAATTACAGTCAGATCCCTCCCTTCAAGGTCCCTCACTACCCGCAGAGTAGTCACCTCCAAGACCAGTCCAGAAATCACATCTAGGACCATAACAACCCGTACCTCTTCTGTTAAAATACCCCCTAAAATAACCTCAACATCACGAAGAGTTGTAACAAGCACTAATACAGCAGAAACCATTCCACTATTCTCTTCTTTAAGTAAATTTGCAACGAAAACAACTTCAATGCAAAGCAGACCTGTAGTCACGTCATCGGGGACAAACCCTGTTCGGTCCTCCATCTCGGAGTCGTTTTCATCCCAATCATCATCATCATCATCATCTCGCAGAAACATGGCAACAAAAAGATTAAATAGTGACCCACAACCATTCAGGACCGCATCAACTACAAGACGGTTTACCCCATTTCTAGAGACATCAACGCCTGCTAAACAACTGCCAGAGTTGTCATCGTCTAAAAATACTGGTATTGAGATCCCGACATCAAAACGTATTTCTATGTCTGAGTTTTCCTCAAGATTTTCATCTGCCAAAGAACTTTTGCCGCGTTCTGGAGCATCAGACTTTACGGTGATAAGAGTGCGAGAACGGGCGCCAGCACCCACTTATGTCGAGCAATCATCAAGCGGATCATCGATGAGGAAAACAACAAAAAAATTCAATAGTTTTGAAAAAAACAGTGGGTCCCTGTCATCTTCCCCTACATTTGTTACTTCTTCCATGTCCAGCTCCGCTCGTTCTTCAAAATCATTGGTGAGACTTTCCATATAAATGTGTAGAATCCTCAGTCAGGAGGACCTTGCCAGTTTGTCTCAATATACGGATTATATATATATAACCTCTACACATTTGATAACATATACATGTTAGTGTGTACCGTTTCAGATGATCTTCTGCACTGGTTGGAGGCCAATATAAATTCATGTTTTTTTTTCGGAGGTACACTGTTCGAGGAAGAGTCCTGAAGTAATTGTTAGCACATCGTCTTGTTTTGGGTGGAATTATAACTGCACCTTTGAGTGACCAACTAACGTTTCCCATCAACCCTTTACCCTGAATGTTCATTATGTTTAGATTTTGACCAGAATGATGTCTATTCCAAAATATGTATTGATCTCTGAACTTGCATAAAACATTGCACATTTAAAAACTGTTTTCGTCTTGTACTTATTAACTTTATGATTATTGCAAATTATTTTCAAAAAATCAAATTTTTACTTTTGTTATGATGTTTACCAATTATTGAATAGAATATTTCGTCTTTTAAATTTAGAATGAAGCAACAATTGCCTCCCCTGAATTAATGCCCGTGACAGCAGGAGGATCCGTTCAAGCATCAGCTTCGAACAATATGGTTGAGGTAAATACGGAGGTGTGAAGATCGCTGTTGCCAATCATAAATCTTGGGGAAGGGGCGGGGCATCAAAGATGACACCTTAAATATTTACCTAATGTCTTATCTTAACTCGAAGTCCAGTAGTGTAAAATACTTATTTCTTGCAAATATCTCTAAAATTTCCCCTAATCAAGACATGGCATATACATATTTCTTGGTTTGAGTAAAATTCTGATTCTTTCTTTTTCTTTATGGTCTTTACAGACCATAATTCTACATACCATTTTTTGTCATAATAGGTAGAGCATGGTTTCTATGATACATGGATCTATTGTAAAAATTTAAAATGTTTGGGGATGTTTAAATAACTTAACATTTTTGTCTTATATCAATAATCCAGAAGCTTTATTTCGTAAATATTTTTTTTTCGGTTGTCCTGTTAAGTAGGTTCAATGATTTAAACTCCTTAATTTTCTTTTAATATATACACAGAATATGGTTGCTGCAAGTATAGCTACAGAGGGAGACACAAATCTTGTAGAGGGTGCAGCAGAGGTTGCTGGTAACGTTGTTGAGGGTGCACAGGAAATGGCAGGAAATGTTGTTGAAAACGTGCAAGAGGGGGCTGAAAATGTAGTCGAGGCCGTTGGTAATGTTGGAGAAAACATTGCTGAAGTCGGAGCAAACGCTGTGGAAAATGTTGCAGAAGGTATGGAGAAAGGAGCAGAAATGATTGCAGAGGGTGCTGAAAATGTCGTAGAGGGTGTAAAAGAAGTCATTGACGATGGTTTACCCAATCCGCTCTTGTCAGGAAGAGGTGACACAGATAATACATTAGACATTGGGGAAGTTGATGATAAAGAGTTAGAGATGGAAACTTCTCTCAGAGACAGCAAAAGTCGAGAAATTGGAGCTTCTGGTCGTCTGCGTATTAGCGGAGACTCGGGTGAAGATTCAAATGGTGACGGAAATAGCGACAGCGAGGAAATAGATTCTAATTCTGGAGAAGATTCAAACGGCGACGGCGACAGCGACAGTGAAGAACGAGGAGGAAGATCATACTACAGTCGCCGAAGATCATCAGATTCTGGTGAAGATTCAAATGGTGATGGAGACAGTGATAGTGAAGAGAGAAGTGGAAGACGCCGGGGTAGCAGACGAGGAAGATGGTGGAGACGAGGTGGAAGGGGTTCTGATTCTAGCGCGGATAGTGGAAGTTCAAGCCGAGGCTCTGATTCCAGTGACGAAAGCAGTGACAGTGACGGGGACGACAGCGGGTCAGACTCCAGCAGCAGTGACTCTATGGAAGATGATTTCGATTACTTTGAGGATATGAATGATTTTTGGATGAATGGTGGCTCCAGATCTTCAAGCAGACGAAGTGAAAATGGAAACCTTAATTTACAAACATCTAGTCAATCTAGTTCCAGTCCAGGTTATCAAAGAGGGGACATGAGAAGAATTATCTCCCAGATCAGAAACAATGGCGGAGCAGTCATTTCTCTACCCGAGGCCAGGTCTAATACCATGGTTCATTTCTTTGTCAAATGGAGAAAGTCAAATATTTCTAGGAAAGGACAGAAAATGTTTATCAGAACACCCGAGGCAACTGTTGCAATTTTACGTCACCCAAATCGTCGAAATTAGTTTAAATTGAACATATTCAAGTTACCTTGCACAGATACATTGTAACTCATGTATATAAATGAAGCACACGTGAATGTTTAAAAAAGTGTTAATCTCTGACAACATGATATCATATACTCTCATTTGATGAAAACATTTTACAATAAATAATTAGGCTTATACGTTGTTAATAGGGAAAATAAGTGTTCCATGTTTGCTCACAATGTGTGTTGAATAAATACACAATAATTAAGTCATTCTGATTATGTTATTTTCATAACTCGTCTGAAATGCCCTCTGATAATAATGAAGTTGCAGTTTTAATTGAACTCCTATTAAATAAAACTTTTGTAGACAATAGGCAAATGTCCTTGTGTTTAGAAACATGCAAATATGATTTCTGTTTTTCAAAAGGGCGATAAAATAAACTCGACCAATTACAGGCCAATCTCATTAGTTTGCATGGGAAAAAACATTGGAAGAGTATTTGTTTAAATATATATAATCAGTTAGTGTGTCAAAAACTGTTGTACAAATTACAAGCTGAATTTATGCAAAATTATCCAACAGTCACCCAGTTCATAAAAATTTTTCCTATTTGTGTTGGTTTAGACAAAATACAAGTCACTTGTTTCGCCTTTCGTGAAGTAAGCAATGCTTTGGTCGAAAGGTTTAATTTATAAATTGGAAAAAAAAACCCGAATTTGTGGGTTCTTGCTTGGTTGACCATCTTTCAATATTTCCAGTGGGAAGAACGAAAGCAGGAGTTCCCCAGGGCTCTGTTCTGGGGCTCTACTTTTCTTAGACTTTATAAAATGTCTACCATGCGGTCTATTAGGTCTTGATAGATAATTTGAAGAGTATTTATCCGTGTTAAATGCAAATATTTTTTTTTCATAGCAATGAATGGGATTGGGCAGCAGGCTCGACCTATTTTATCCCTCTCCCTACATCTTGGTCAAGGTGAATACATAGATTTTGACATTTAATAACAAAGCAAAAAGTAATAATGTACCGAAGAAGAAAAAAAGAGAATAAAAAAGTAATCAAAATTATAGAGAAAAACAAGCAAAATTATAGAGAAAATTAGGCAAAATTACAATAAAGTACCGGTTTGTAAATATTCAAAAATGTTACAATAACAAACATGTATGTATTAATGTGTTTATATAAATCGTTTTGTTGTTTCTATAAATGTACGCAGCTTCAAATATTTAGATATTGATATTAAGTCCATGATGATGATTAGGATTACCATTTAATAATAATTCATATTCAGAGAGATGGTCACAATTTATAATAGTATATATTGATTGAAAACGTACATCTCTTGGAATTGTACATTTTGGACATACAAAAAAGTAATGGTAGGCATCCTAACAGAGCCAGTACAATGTTAAAACATTAGAGTTTCTGATAAACATTGGTTATATAAACCTGCCATCAATATACTTGCATTATTCCTTATATGACAATGTATTATATTGTATTTTCTTATTCCAAAACGAAAAAGTTCACTACTTTTTCTAAAAAGTAGGATTTCAAAAGACTTTTGAATAAAGATGTTTCATGAGCATTTTATATATAATCTGGCAAGATACATATATTCCATTTTTTTGGCTGTTGAAGGAAGAAAACTTTCCATATGAGATGTTGTAATGTTAAGAATTTTGAATTGCACATCATTGGTTCTGAGATTGTAGGAATGACTTGATGGGCGATAAGGTTCTGTCAAATCATACAAATATTGAGGTGAATAACCATTAATAATTTTATAAAACAATATTAACATGAATTTTTCTCCTTGTTTTAAAGAGATCCCATCCTAATTCATCATACAATTTTGAGCGAGAAAAGTTGATCTTAATCCGGTGATAATTCTGCCTGCTTCAACTTGTATGTCTTCTAAAAAGTTTAGAATCTTTTTCAGATCAGTTGTCCCAAACAACATCAGAATATTGCAACACAGGTAGAATAAATGCGAACTATATCTTAACAAGTGTTTTACCTGCAACCTTATACTTCAGACTAAGAATGTTTAATCTTTTTGTGGCCTTTTCATGAATTATTTGTATGTGTGATGTCTCTTTGAAAATGGAGACCTAGATGAGTATGATAATTTTTCTGAATAAAGTCTGGATCATATTCTCCAAATTTGACAGGAGAATATGCAATGTTTTTTTTTCTACTAAACTTTACATTAACAGTTTTGTATGGATTATTTCTTTAAGTTCTAGATCATCAGTGCTACATTTATGTTTCCACTTTCTACAATAGCATGTATGGAATTGTCATCGGCAAAAAGTCTTATATTATTAGATAGATCATCACAGATATCACTAATGTACAAAAGAAATAAAAACGGTCCCAGAACAGGACCCCGAGGAACACCAGCATTTACCGTTTCAGAGTTTGATGTAAAACCATCGATTACAACTTTCTGTTGTCTATTTTTTTAGTTTAAATAAAAGGCCTTTATACCAGACTTTATCAAATGCCTTTATGATATCGCAAAAGATAAATCGCTCATAAAATTATGTAAATGTTTAAACAATATTTTTTCCGTTCTTTTACACAAAACACTTGTAAGAGTTTAAGAGATATTGGATATTCATATACATTCGTGTTAAACACCTCCAAAACTTGTAGGACTAAGAAATACGGATATACATGTACTAATAAAAAATAACTAATGCCCTAAATGTTATGTGAAATTCAATTCTAACAAAACTTTAATATATTAATATGTGGCAGTAATTTAACTTACGCTTCTCTTAGTCATTTTCATATTGGACAAACAAATTCGGAAAATGGACAAATCATATTGATAATTTTTTTAGAAAAGCTAGGATTCCATAAAAATTGCAGTACTCCATAAATTAAAATTGCTGCCGAATCTTATAATTGAAGTTAAAATGTATATTACAATTATTAGACCTCTATTTGAATATGCGTCAGAAGTTTAGCATAACGTTTCTGCAGTCGATTCTGAAAGACTTGGAAAACCAGCTAGAAGCTACACCTGGTGTAACTGGCCTCCCAATTTTACTCTTCTTTTATCTCAGAAAAGTGCATGACAAAACACAAATTGAAATTTTTCGATTTTATTAAACGAACCTGGGGATAATTGAGCATGGCTGTTTGAAGGGTAATGGGCCGCAATACATGACAAAGGATAAGTCCAAAACACAAATGACATGAAATTCAATGAGTTAAAAATTCACACAATTTAAAGTTCAAGCAAAGTTCACAAAATTCACAAAATTCAAAGTCAAAGTTTAAGAATAAATGTGTAATACCTTGACTCTGAGAGGTACAGCAGTCAAGTATTTCCCATTGACCGGGGAGGTTCAAAGGTCAAAGCTTACATGTCTTTTAATATAATAAAAATATACAGTAGTCTCTGGTCACCAGTGTCGCTTATTCACGCCACAAGTTCCCCAGCACAAAAGCATCAATGATGCTGCAGAAATGGGGAACTCCACCACCAAATGGTCGGGGGTATGAGCAGATAAAACCTTGCTTTTCCCGAATCTTTCCGACAGGCTAGGAAAAAAAACCTGTGATATGTCTTCTGAGCTGGCTGGAAAGACCCGAGAAGATGCGATATTGCTACAAAACAGTACAACACAGGAATATAATAAACAAGGTGCTAAATGTATTTTTCACCTCACACTGAAATTACAGTAAACTACAGAGTGCTTAAAGCACAATTAATTAGTTATATGCCATTACCAAGAGAAGCCCACTCCATTCTGAATTGAAATCCCCCAACACCAACCCCAATTTACTACTGCGTCTTCCTATTAATAATTATTCGATTCAGCAAATTAAACCAATGTTTCAGATATCTACTTCTGTGTTTTATGATGGCTACAGCGATAGCTCACTTATCTTTTTTTCAAAATTAAGCTAGTTCTATATTACATCAGAGCAGATCATCTGACTGCATAAAACTACCATGGAATTAGAACTCTTCAATGAGCAATGTGCCATTTTTTCCACTTTGCTTGTTTTTTTGTTGTTGTTGTTGTTTTTTTTTTTTTTGGGGGGGGGGGGGGGGGGAGATCCATCCTATTTATTTGTAGAAATAGTTTCAAAGTAGTAATATAAAAAAAAAAGCCAAAAACGTGGTATGCGATTCTAGTAAGTAGGGAATGCACCAAAGGCTCTAGTAAGAGTGTCGAGTTCCAATAAGTTTAAGACTTGTGTCGTTGTTATAATGCTATTGTTTTACAACCCGACTTATCATGCGCGGACCTAGAGGGGGGTCGGGGGGGATCCGGACCCCCCCCCCCCCCCTCGAATTTTCAGAGTTACTAAAAGTATGTACTGAAGCAAATAAAAAATGACTTTGGACCTCCCTAGAAAACGTGGACCCCACCATCACCAACACGAAATAGGTTTGTTCACGTTTTGGAGATGGATTTTACGTTGTGTGTGTGTGTGTGTTTTTGTTTTGTTTTTGTTTTGTTTTTTTGGTTTGATTTTTTTTTGCTTTTGGATTGGAATTTTTTTTTGACCGAGGTTGAACCGCCCCCCCCCCCCCGGAAAAAATTCCTGGATCCGCGCCTGCTTATTATTTGAAAAATGATGTATATGCCCTGCGTATGGCAGCTGCACGCCTGTTAATTTATACATGTACAGATGTCAAGACAAACTCATTTGCAGTATGCTAGCTTATGTATGTATTCACTATACAATGCTTTATACAGGTGAATGTAGGTCTAATTGAACAAGAAAAGGTAGCAGTGATGTCTTTATGCGCAACAAATTATGTCTTTTACTGTAAAAAATAAAAATAGAAGTAGCAACAAAAAGACAAAAACTAAACAGATACACTCAAGTATTTAAAATCTATAGCAGAGATTATAATCAATAGATGTGATAGGTAAAATCAATTAATCTGATACTTAGCTTGTCCAATTTGTCCTGAAGATCTACGATTCTATAATGATTTTCTACAAGATACAAAAAAATCCCCAAGACAAACCTTACATGGAAATAAACACATTGTTTACAGATGACATAAGGGAAGGAAAAAAAACTTTTTTATATGTACGACAAAGGCGATCACGATCGCCTAATTAACTTGCAGGTCAACAAAACATACATTCCCCGATAATGACCTATCGGAAGTGCTAGTTTGACCATGCATACGTCACTAAATATGTACCCACTACATTGTAAGCACTGGGTCTAAAATCGACCAATGAAATATTTGATAATCTTTTATGAATCTATTGCACGAAAGTCAATAAAAACTGTATATAGTAATGAAATAAAAATTCCTTTTTAAAGCACTCAATTAAAGAAAATGAGTTCGTATAATGTTTAATGAGTAAAATACAATAAATAAACTCGACCCTATGAATCTGTTATATAAACTACTTTCTATTACACAAATATCTTAATTCTTTGTAAATCTTGTCTCAAAAGTATACTAAAATTGTCTGCATTAAGATTTGATGATACTATTAGTTAATATACATTATTTATTGTCTCTGTGTGAAATGTACTCTTACACTATCGGAGACAGGGCCGCTATTTAATGCAACAGTCCTCCGTTTAAATTGTCACCTCTTGATAATATTAATTTGACTAATGAAAGATGGCATGACAAAGCCGAGCCATACCTATACCTCACCTGTCAGGTGACCACTACCGTCACGGTTGTACAGAACAAATGGTCCGTGACATCAGGGCAGATAATGTGGTTTTCTCCCTTCAAGTACATCAGTATTTATATTATCTTAATCATATTTCTTTCTTCCTACGACCAATGCAGAAAATAAACAAATCTTTACGTCAAGCTCTAAAATTATTCCTCTGCGGAATTTTTCGGGATGTGCCGACCCCAGAACCAAATGGTATATATTAGTTTCGATCTGTCGGGAACAGCATTAACCATCGACTGAGTCGGACAGAAAATCGTAAGTTGAAACCTGAGATCAAATTCATTCACTGCAAATAAAAGATATACATGCAAACGGCAACACCTTTCAATTTAATAATGTTAATATGTTAAGGCATTTTCTTTTTCAGATAAAAATGAAAATAATACAAGCAAGCATACTTCTTTTCTGCGTATCCAATGTTGCCAGTTTCGGTATTCTTCGTCTATTAAAAGACATCATGAATTCTCGATCGAGGACTCATTTTCGAAATAGAGGTAAGCATTTACAATTTCAAATGAAGGTTAAGTTCATTTCAAATTTACTGTTTTATTATTTTAAACCGTATATCCGACAATATTGATAGGTCTTTTTATCTTTTAACTAAAGGTACACCTACAGTAAATTCTATAGATTCAAACAACATGGACGTCACGTACTGGTATGATGATGGTGGCTCGAGTAGTTCTGAAGAGGGGGGTCTCCACATTTTACATCGATTTATTGATGATTACGATACTTCAACCGATTTCGAAACGACCACGTCTTCCTATTCCCAGTCCGCCACTGAAGACGATATTGAAGATACTGACGAGGCAAATAATTCAACAACTACTGAAAAACCAGCCATAGCTACAGAAGCGACATCAGAGGAAAAAAATGAGGTCAGCACAATCCCAGAGACAACACAAATAACAATGACAACAACAATGATGGCTTTAGATGAAAAGACATCGAATCCATCCACTACTACAACAGCGACGTCAGAAGAAGAGAATGAAGTGAGCCCTACTCAAGAGACAACAACTACTGATGAAAATCAAACAGCATCAACAATAATGACAACAACAATTCCATTAAAAGAAGGAACAGAAAAAAGCACAGATGGAATCACAACGTCATCGACCATGCAGACGACATCTTCACGTGAAGACATCAGAACAGAGGCAGCTGGTTCCACCACCGCTGCTCCTCCGACTACTACATACTACATTACAACAGATACATTTATAGAGGGAGAACTATCCAATGACGATAAAATTAACAAGACTGATTTAAATTCGACAGACGATCTTAGTAAAATAATAGAAGAATACAATGATTATATTGATCAAGGTCCCACCAGAGGTGATCTGCCGAATTTCCGAAAGACGACATCGCAAAATATACCGACAACCACCCAATCTTCTGGTGGTAGTGGAATCATAGATGCGTCCTTATTTACTGGAAGTGCTTCTAAAATAAATATCAACACTAATTCACTATCGATCTCTAAGGATAACCCGGTAGACATTACATCAGGAAATATTGGAAACATTCCATCCGACGTAGTGATTCAGTCCTTAAATAATAAACTACAAGTAAATTCACAAAAAGGACAAAGGATTGTCTTAGAAAAAACAATATCAGGACAACTCGATGACGCTAACCAGAGAGGAAGAAATGACGTCATTAGCACCAGTCCTCCAAAACCCACTGTGTTTTTCACGCCGCCTGGCTCTCAGAAAAATATCATTTCAGAACCACAGAAAAATATTTTTTCTGAACGAGTGGCTAAAATAGGTAACGATTTTGTTATTCTGCCAGATTTCAAAAGTGGAGCAGTTCTTATAGAACCAATTGTTTCTTCAAGTAACATGAAAACTGACACAATATCAAACTTTGATTATGTACCCTCCAAAACCCTATCCTACAAAGCAATTCCTAAAAATGTTTAATTCATTTTAAATAAAATTGTAAATTATATCGATAAGCATAATGACAAAATTGTATTTATTACAGTTTATGAAATCCTATTATTTATGTATCACTTTTATTATTTTTTTTTTTTTACTATTTTGTTACATGAAAAAAATAAACAAAGTATTCATTCATTTCATTTATTGTTTGGATCGTTACCAAGTAATGAAATAAAAATCATGAGCAGCTGGAAGACGGTTAGCCAGAGGAGCTGCTCCTAAGGAATATATTAATGGATTGTCATTACAGAGCTCTGTGGCAATCTGAAAAAAAATCTACACAGAATAAAACAGGAAGGAGCATTAAGAAGAAGATTTTTTTTTCTTAATAAAAGATCGATAACAGGATAAGTAAAGATATCATTGAAAAAGAATAAAATTGGATGAAAGATTTTATTGAATTAAGAAGATTCTTCGAGCATTTTAAACTGCTAGAATGCTGTATTTAACCTGTCAATAAACTACAACTTTTTCTCTTCAGAAATGAAAGTGAAACTGCTGTACACACGATAAGGCTTGCCTTATAAGTCATGAAACTTAAGTTCATGGCCTTACCTTGTGTACACCCTTAATACACGTTATCTCGGGCATTGCAAGTCTGATTTACGAATAGAGCATTGCTTTATTTCGTAATACAAGACTCAGGGCCGATAACACGGTAAGGCTTGCTTTATAAGTCATGAAACTTAAGTTTTTTTTCGAGACTTATGTCTGACTTACGAATAGAGCACTGCTCTATTTCTTAATACAAGACTTAGCTGACATTTCTTCTCAACCAATGAAAACGATTCGCCCAAGTGTCAGTCTATTTTTTTATCAAACCATACACGTGGGTAGATTGAAGTGAACACAAAGTATTTTCGAAAAAGATATAAATGAATATATCCACAAACCTCCTCCTCTTTTTAAGAAGTATGAATGCACTTGTCGGTAAAATTGTTACAAAGCCCTAGTAATCTTTTCCTCTATTTTAATGACCGAATGCACTGTTTATGGCTGAAAAAACACGTGGAATTTATGGAAATGTTAATAATCCTGTAAGTTTTGCCTAAGCTTGTTGACATGAAAGCCGCACGGCCTGCAAAACGTAAGGTTTTAGACTTATAAGGCAAGCCTTACCGTGTGTACCGGCCCTTAGGTGAGCTTTTATTGTTAGCCAATGAAAATTAGTCACCAAGCGTCAATTTATTTTTACACGTGGGTAGATTGGTAATGACCGTCTATATAAACGAGGCAGTATAGAAACTCGTCATTTAGTGGGAGGAAAAAAAGTATCTGTACTAGTTACCTCCTCTTCTATTTTGAGAACCGAACAAATTGTTTTGGAATTAAACGTGAAATTTATGCTATTGTTAATTTTTATCGTTAAGGTTTGCTTTATTTTGTGTACATGACAGCCGTACGGCTTGCAAAAACAAGTTTTAAGACTTATAAGGCAAGCCTTACGGTGTGTACAGGTCCTTATCTAACGTTTTCTCCCCGCTGATTTTGTTAAGAACAAGTCGTTTGCTTTTCAATTTTGTACAGCTAGTCTGAAAAACAACCGGTAACTTCAAATTGTTAAACTTAAAAAAAAAACCTTCCTAAAACTTTATACCTGAATTCCGTTCTGCTCACAGCTCAAAAATATTCCCGTTACCTCGAATTCTCTGTTGAAGTCGTGACGATGAAACGTGGAAATAGGTTTATACTCATCTCTGGAATCCGGATGCGCACGACAGAAGTCCTCAACCTGAGCGAAAGAAAGAAGGTGGCAGAGGACAGTTTTTTTGGCAATCAAAACGTTTGGCTGACATTTTCCTTAAAGCTGAACAACGACTCGTAAATAGGCATACGCCATATTCAATTATACTATCTGCCATATCAGCACCGGGATATACTCTTCGCATTCGTTACACCTGACTGCTTTATTGTCACGGGTATCGATATCGGCGTGGAATGGCGACACGTGTTCGTGCTGGTTATCTTGCATTGCCTTTGTTTATTTATTTTATTGCAGTTTATTGCAGTTATGTGTATTTGTGTTTGTACACTGCACTGACCTGTGTAACTGTTGTAAGTTTCTTTGGTATCTTACTCTCTTGGCGTAGAAGTACACAGTTATTTTTTGTCGCTACCGAGTACTGTGTAGCATACGTCTACACCGGTGACAACTGATTACACTGAACAGTGACTAAGTAAGCGGCTTATATAGAGGTTCTCAGCTATAGCGAGTGAATAATCGAATATGGCGGACAAATTCCTTTTACGAATCGTGTTCAGCTTTAAGATTGAGCTGCTTGTAAAATGTGCAATGGAAAATTTTAAATTCTCTCTACATGTAACAATAGTATGGTCTAGTCCCTTGGGGAATTTGAAGCTTTTAGGAATAAAACATGTACAACTTACACATTGAGCCAAAATGATGGCACAGGGACAATCTCAAAATTTCATGAAAATTAAGCCTATTTTTATTATTTCACCAAGTCCGCAACAGCTTCCAGGACCGCGCTAATGCCCTACGCTACCACGCAAAATCCAGACAAACGCCTGTACATACCACTGAACAGCAAGAGATACTGGCTCAACCACCTCATTTTCAAGCTACAATTCATCCTATGAACCCATCCCGCTTTTCTGAGGAAATCCCGGATGAGTGATTTTTGAGTTTAGTTTCGTAATTCTAGTCCATATCCTATGAATAGTTAGTAGTGACACTAAAGTGTCATATATCAATAAAATATACAAAGCCACCAATTCCCTCCAAATGCACACAGAAAATATTTTAGCAATAAAGTCACATATAATAAGCATTCAAACCTTAGGATTCTCTATTTTTTAAAATAATTTTGACGGTACTTAATCCGAAACTATCCTCTGCCACTTAACACAAGGCTTTGATTGGTTAGACCAACCCCTAGTCCGAAATATCTGACGTTTTCCGGGCTTTTTTAACGATTTTGATATTTGACGTGCCAGGAAAACGTCAAATATCAATATCGTGAAAAAAGCCCCGAAAACGTCAGATATTTCGGACTAAACCCTCCCCCCGCCAAAAAAATGCATACGGCAGCAGCATCTGATCTGTACAATTAAGAAAATTATAATTAAAAAAAATGATGCAACTATTTTTGGTCTGAGGACAAATATTCAACAACACAGTTAAATGTTTGTCTGTAATATTGTTTCACAAATCGAGTCTCCATTATTTTTTCAAAGGTGAGGGAAAAGCAAAAGATATTCAATGAAAAGACAAAATACTCTAACAGATAAATAAGTCTTCTTACTCGCTGTCCTTTCTTCCACGAAGTTGTTATGTTGTTCCCACAGTAATTATAGACCAGTGAGTGGGTGGTCAGCTGGTGGGAGGTGCAGGCTATATTGGGGGTATGTAAAGGATGACCAATCACTATCGCCTCTAGTACTTTACTCTTATTGCATTTGTGAACGTCTAGATTATCTGGGAAAATACATGATTTATGTAGCATTTCATCGTATATGATGTGTATCTATTGTCCCCTTCAATGAATAATAAAAAATATTCATAATAGAACTACTGTTACTTATGTTGAACTAACTTGATTGTTAGGTGAAATAGAGTGTGAAACATGCCTGAAATGTCGATAACTAAATATACTCGTAATTATCGGGATTCAAGAGCATTCATCTTATAAGACCAGGAATGAAATCTTGTTACTTTCTTGAACTCTAATAATAACATTTACAGGAATTCATTGGTTGATTATAATATACGAAAGTTTTGTTAACCATTTACGGAATTAATACCTATATTACTAGTGGGAACCTTGATGGAGGAAAAAAAGATTCAGTCTTTTATATTATTTTTGATAATCTCAATGATCTTTATTTATTTATTTATTTTTTTTTTAAGGGGGGGGGGGGTCTGTGATCCATCGTTAGCATGTAATGAAATCAATATAAATAGGCCTACAATATCTGTTTTACAAATTGAAAGTTTTCCTCTTACGGGAACTCTGGACACACGTGCATTGATGCTCGACACAGTCAGAGTGAAAGCCATGGCTACATGTCATCCCAGAATGTTTGCAAGAATCCTTATTGTGACAAAATGTGCTCCAAGTTTGTCCTGAAACTGATGCAAGTGACTTTTTCTTTAAAGAAAATAACATTAATTACAATGTATCCCTCGTTAACATTCTTAACGATCACCAATTTGAACCTCTAGCTATGTGAAACCTATTTTGTTTTAACTTTCCGCTAAACAGGTTTTGATTATAGGGATGTCAACGAATATTCGAACAGTACTACTTTTGAATGAAAATTTCGAAACTGAATGTGATTGAAAAATAACTTACATAAAACCAACAAAAAGGCAACGCAAATCAACATGGTTCTTGACTGAGGGCGACCTGACAGATTGGTCATTTCTCATAACAGAAATGCATGTAGCATTGATAACACTGAATGCAATACATGCACCAGAGAGGAATAAATCTCATGTTTAAAGTAATTGCTGAATTTGGGATCCCGATTAAGTTATGTTGGAAATGTACACAGTAGTGTTACAAGAAAAAGGTAAAAATATTCAGGGCAAATTAGTTTTAAAAAAACAACAAAAAGAGGGATTCTAATCTAATTTTTACTTCAAACATAACGAAAGGGTTTTTATGGCATTGGTAGTACAGTTGAAGCAATATAATAGTCAATGGTACAGTCATAATCTTATAGTATGCACGTAGTATTGGGGGGGGGGGGGGCTCCCCCCACTTTCTTCTAAACATAATCACTTACTGTTGAAAGTGTTCATTGACATGTTGTTCCCCCTTCTGTTTGTGCACAGTATAGTAAAATCTGAGTAATTCATTTATAAAATTTGGTCGTGAAAAAGTGTGAACCTCCCACCCCCACCACCACGAAATAGGTTGAGATTGGACACTTTACCTCTTTCTTTTTTCTTGTCTTTAATTTTTTGGTTCAAGTTTTTTAGTTTTCAAGTTGTCATTTTTTTCTGACTGCCCCCTTTCAAAAACGATACTTTGTGTTTGTATAATAAAGAATTTTGAGCTACATGTATTGTGAATCTGTTAATTTGCCCGTGTTTGTTAAGGCCTTGTTTTGTTCGCCAACTAAGAATGCTACAGGTATTATTTAGAGAACGAGACGGGTTCTGTATCGTAGATACAAATTTGGGGGTGGACGAGTGCGTAGCACGAGTCTCCGCCCCCAAATTTGTATCTACGATACAGAACCTGTCGAGTTCTCTAAATGATTTGTGACACGATCAATCAAAACTAGTATTAATTGTAACGGGGACCGTTACAGATGTTCCCCAAACGCTCCCCAACTTCCTTTTGGTCTCTTATTCCCTGTAAGCTTCATTAAATAAGGCAATCAAGTATATTGGGTTTTTTTACGCATTACACGCGCGCGCACGGACATGCATGTACAAAATGACCATGTCAACTTGTCTACACTTTTAATACATCTTTATATTCAAATTCATCAAAAGATAAAAAAAAAATCGGCTATATTAAGTATATCTGTCATTTAACGGATTGCAAGCGCGCGCACGTGCATGCATGTCCATGAAGACCATGTCATCTTGTCCACACTATTAATATGTCTACATATTTTGAGTGTCAAAGCATTTCAACAAAAAGTATAAAAGTTACAGCTATATCAAGTATATTGGTCATTTTAGCATTGCATGCGCGCGCACGTGCATGCATGTGCATGTTGACAATGTCATCTTGTCTACATTTATAATATGTCTACATATTCTGAGTATCAAAGCATTACATCAAAAAATGTAAAAGTTCTGGCTATATCAAGTATAATGGTCATTTTACTCATTGCACGCGCACGCACGTGCATGCAAATGCATGCATGTGCGCGCTGATCATGTCATCTTGTCTATACTTCTAATATATATTTATATTCTGAGTTTCAAAGCAATTTATCAAAAAATATACAAGTTAAGTCTATATCATTTGTATAGGTTATTATAATCATTGCGCATGCGCACACGTGCATGAATGTGCATTCTGACCATGTCATCTTGTCTACACTATTAATATATCCTGATATCCTGAGTATCAAAGCATTTCATCAAAAGATATGAAAGTTATGGCTATATCATGTATATTTGTCATTTTACTCATTGCACGCGCACGCACGTGCACGCACGTGCATGCATGTGTGCGCTGATCAAGTCTTCTTGTCTACACTTCTAATATATATATTTTTATTCTTCGTTTCAAAGCAATTCATCAAAAAATGTACAAGTAAAGTCTATATCAATTGTATTGGTTATTTCAATCAATGCGCATGCGCGCACATGCATGCATGCGCATTCTGACCATGTCATGGTGTTTACACTATTAATATATCCTTATATTCTGAGTTTCAAAGCATTTCATCAAAAAATATAAAAGTTACAGCTATATCAAGTAAATTGGTCATTTTACGCATTGCACGCGCACGCACGTGCATGCACGTGCGCGCAAAATGACCTTCGTTCCGCAAATCTACATAACATTCCTATTAACCCTAAAAAGGTTTCACCTCAATCGGATGTGTAGTTTCTGAGATCACTCACGGACAAAAAAGTACCCAGGAAGAAAAATAATAATAATAATAACTAGTATTAATTGTAACGGGGACCGTTACAGATGTTCCCCAAACGCTCCCCAACTTCGTTTCGGTGTCTTATTCCCTGTAAGCTTCATTAAATAAGGCAATTAAGTATATTGGTTTTTTACGCATTACACGCGCGCGCACGGACATCCATGTACAAAATGACCATGTCAACTTGTCTACACTTTTAATATATCTTTATATTCAAATTTCATCAAAAGATGAAAAAAAATCGGCTATATTAAGTATATCTGTCATTTTACGCATTGCAAGCGCGCGCACGTGCATGCATGTCCATGATGACCTATCATCTTGTCAACAGTATATATATATCTACATATTTTGAGTATTAAAGCATTTCATCAAAAAGTATAAAAGTTACAGCTATATCAAGTATATTGGTCATTTTAGCATTGCATGCGCGCGCATGTGCATGCATGTGCATGCTGACAATCTCGTCTTGTCTACATTTATAATATGTCTATATATTCTGAGTATCAAAGCATTACATCAAAAAACGTAAAAGTTATGGCTATATCAAGCATATTGGTAATTTTACTCATTGCACGCGTACGCACGTGCATGCATCTGTGCGCTGACCATGTCATCTTGTCTACATTATTAATATATCCTTATATCCTGAGTATTAAAGTATTTTATCAAAAGATATGAAAGTTTTGGCTAAATGAAGTATATTGGTCATTCTACTCATTGCACGCGCACGCACGTGCTTGCAAGTGCATGCATGTGTGCGCCAATCCTGTCATCTTGTGCACACTTTTAATATATATTCATATTCTGAGTTTCAAAGCAATTCATCAAAAAATGTACGAGTTAAGTCTATATCATTTGTATTGGTTATTTCAATCATTGCGCATGCGCACACGTGCATGCATGTGCATTCTGACCATGTCATCTTGTGTACACTTTTAATATATCTTGATATCCTGAGTATCAAAGCATTTCATCAAAAGACCTGAAAGTTATAGCTATATCAAGTTTATCTGTCATTTTACTCATTGCACGCGCGCGCACGTGCACGCACGTACATGCATGCGTGAGTTGATCAAGTCTTCTTGTGTACACTTCTACTATATATTTATATTCTGAGTTTCAATGCAATTCATCAAAAAATGTACAAGTTAAGTCTATATCAATTGTATTGGTTATTTCAATCAATGCGCATGCGCGCACGTGCATGCATGCGCATTCTGACCATGTCATCTTGTCTACACTATTAATATATCCTTATATTCTGAGTATCAAAGCATTTCATCAAAAAATATAAAAGTTACAGCTGTATCAAGTATATTGGTCATTTTACGCATTGCACGCGCACGCACGTGCATGCGCGTGCGCGCAAAATGACCTTCGTTCCGCAAATCTACATAACATTCCTATTAACCCTAAAAAGGTTTCACCTCAATCGGATGTGTAGTTTCGGAGATCACTCACGGACAAAAAAGTACCCAGGAAGAAAAATAATAATAACTAGATGCGTTTCTTGTTGCTAGGGCAACAAGTGGTCTTCCGACCGAACTTTTCTCCAGATCGCTGTGCTACCTCACTTCATTTAATACTTTATTGAAGGTATTTTTTGTTTGCGTTTATGTAACACAGTCTTTCAACATAGATCATGATTATTAAAGGATTTCTGTAGAATCTCTGTTAAAAAAGCTTTAAAAAATAAGCAAAAACTATCACACATGTATTCACAGAGAAAAATATCATTTACAACTGAAAAAAGAGAGAAACAATCTCCCGCCCCAGCAGGATTCGAACCCGCAACAATACGAGAAAGTTTGGATCGGTCATATCTTTGCAATAAATGCGGTCATATGAAAGATATGGAGATAACGAACAGTATTCAAGCTCAAAAGTCCATTAAACAATACAAAATAGGAGCAGAGCAAACACGGACCTCCAAACATCAGAGGTGGGATCAGGTGCCATGGAGGAGTGAGCATCCCCTGCCGACCGGTCACTTCCGCCGTGTGCTCCTTGTCATGATAGGGAAATCACGGAAAAATCCGTCGACAATTCAGTGTGTAAATAATGGTCTAACAATTAGTATGAAAAACGTCAGTTAGCATTTGACTCAATGATAAATTGTATTTGCTGACAAGGTCATTGTATCGACCATAGAACTTACGAAATGATGACTTTAAATGAGACAGCTGATATTCTTGTTTCATCAACTTATTTGTCAATAATTTTTCCTCGTTTTAGAAATTGTAGATACGTAGAGCATGCTCTTGCGTATCGAATCAACTGAGAGATATATACCCCGTATGCAGGTGATGAAGGTATATTGCTGCATAAGTAAGGGAAGTTGACGATTGAAAAGTTAAAGTCATCACGTTTATCATAAAGCTTGGTTGTTAGATTACCATTAACATCTTTTTCAAGTAAAATATCCAAATATGAAACAGATGTTTCAGACTCTGTGGTATCTTTTATCT